CCCGCTGAAACATCGTCACGCTTGAGAAAGAAGACGAGCCGCGCGCGCTTCTACGCATCGCGCGGCATGGCACGCGATAAGAATCGTTGGGATTCGCACGCACGTCGGCCTTTAATCTCCTCGTCTCTCAACGCGCGCGAAAAGGCCGCGGCGGCGGCGGCACGTCATGTGCGACGGAATAGCCGCAAAGAGGTGGCGAGACGAAGAAGGGGCGAAAAACGCCGAAGCGACGCGACGGGTCGCGGTCGGCGGCGCGGTCGAAGGTAGGGTAGGCAAGCGGGGAAGAAAGGCGGAGGGGGAAGAACGAGTGAGAGAGGCGGCGTGGCGGTGGGAGCTCAAACCGTGCCGGCGCTCGGCTCGTCGAGGCGATGAGCCCTCGGGGCGGCGGCCGTGCCGGCGGAACGTGGGGACGAGTAGCGAGACGTGCGGGCGCGGGAGGCAACGAGCGTGCGACGGAAAGCGAGCGCGAGAGAGCGAGATGGCCTCGTCGCCGTCGTCGGCACGCGCGCCACGAAGCGCGCGATACCTATACACTCGCGCGCGCGCACCTCTCGCCGAAGTGTGCATGGGAGAGCGAGATCGTGCGTGTGCGTGAATGTATAGGTGAGCGAGCGTGCGAAGCGGCGGCGGGAATGTGTCGGACGACACAGCGACGCGACGCGCGTTCGCTGAAATCAGGGAGTTTCGAGCGAAACGGTCGTTATTTCGGCCGCGTACTTTTTGATCGCGCTACGGGTGAAGAGAGCAAGAGGGAGACAACGTATTGCGACATGAGGACGATTAACACGCGTTTATGGTAGGTGCTTCGCGTAATGATGCCATGCGCAAATATCGGTTATCTTACCCTTTCGAAATATAGAGAGGGGTATTTAATCGTTTAATTAAATGATTTTATGTTTGCGTTATAATATTTAGAGAACCATGAAATAAATGTGAATACTCCATGACGATTGTTGATTTCGTATCACATTGCGCTTTTTTTTAAATTTAAATCTCACTTTGTTGAGACAGAGATAGAAATAGATTGAATAATGGAACCCGGTTATATCTCCAAGTGTCAAACTCAAATGTCAATGAAATTAACGCGCATGCAATAAAAAATAGAGTTGTGTCACAATCGTTCAACCTAAATGTCAAAGCACTTTTCTCTCTTTCATAGTACGTCATAGCGTAATATTTCGTTCTTACTTCATTAGAAAATGTTAGTTTTTTTCCCATGCTTTTATCACCTTGTACTAGCCAAGAGTTTTACGGAATTTGACTCGAAACGAGCGCGGAATCAGCGAGCGAGTTTTTAATTTAAAATCCAATTGCCATCTGTGGTGCGCGTGTATGAATCGTTATCGCACTACTCTCCGCTGCCTTGTATCGACCTGACGATGAGACATCGATAAGCAACACGCTCCGCTATGCATCACGAATCACGCGGAGAGCGGGGATATTTTTCATCGCATCTCCGCCGCGTCGTAATAATAGCATCCAG